CAGCAGCAAACTGGAGTTCATGTCTTCAAGCTAAACATAGGCATATGGGCAATTTGCACCAAAAAGAACTCCTCCTGTGCTCTGAATCACTGATGTGGACATACCTGAGGGCTCATTGATAAAAACACTCTAGAAAAGTTTTTGAGAACTTTTATTTTACCTTTAGAGAGTAATTTCTGGACTATATTGTAAGTGAAGTGTGAAGCCATGTAGTCAGTGGGGAAAAACAAATCAAGTAGTGCCTACAAAGAAGGCACTGAAACTGATAGAGTTGCTCTGTTGATGGGGCAGGGGACAAATGATCATGTACTGGTGTGTTCCCAATAGAGACAAACACAGAGTGCAAAATAAAGCATTTTTCCATTTAGGCACTGCAATTAAAAGGACTCTGCAAATTGCTGGGTTGAGAGTGCCTAAATAGTAAATTATCGTTGTTCAGATGAAAGGATCAACTGCCAAATAGTGGTGGATGCCTTACTTCTGACCGAGTGGTTGTGCCAGTTGGCTTCATCACCTCAGTGTTATTTTAAGGCTGTTTTTTCTGTTAAGTGCAATCTTATTCTAGCCACAAGAGGGAGACAAGACCGTAAGGAATAAACAAATACAGTTTATAGATGTAGGGAAGTGCTTATGCTATAATTCATTGTACATCTGTGCAATTGTATTGTTAAGAAAGTCCAGTGTGTTTAAATGAAAGTGGAAATAAGCACTTGATAAACTGCAGGACAGTGCTTGTAAGGACATAGAGTTGTCCCTAGCTTTGTTGGGGGCTGCAGTGACAGGACAAGGGGCAATGGGTACAAACACAAAGAGGGAAATTTAACTTAGATAATAGGAAAACGTTTTTCCCTGTTCTGGTGGTGAGACACTGTCCCAGGTTGCCCAGGGAGGCTGTGGCTGCCCCAACCCTGGCAGTGTTCACAGCCAGGTTGGATGAGCCTTGAGCAACCTGCTCTGGTGGGAGGTGTCCCTGCCCAGGGCCGGTGTTGGGACTGGATGATCTGTAAGGTCCATTCCAACCCCTAAAATTCTATGATTCTATGATCCCCAGTGCAATTTATAATGCACGAATGTTTTTACTTGCCCCCTTTGTATTGGCTAATTCTGCTTACTGTTTCAGGAACATGTTTTGATTCGCAAGTCAGAAAAGGATCTTTATTCTGTTAAATTTTTAATTATACTTCTCTAATTGAATATAATTTGCTTCTTTTATTTTTGAATTATTTAAATTCTACAAATCAGCCTAGGGTGACGTGTTGAACAGCAAGGTGCAGTATTTATCATCTAGGAGATAAAGATATAAATAGAATTGTCATGAAAATTGGGTTATTTTTGGCATTAAGTGTATCACTGTTTACATTTTAAGTCTATGCAAGATTCTTGCTATCATGTACTATCATTTTTATTTGAAGTTGTGTTTTATGGGTGGGAATTTGTCCTTTGTGTCCTTTGTGTCCCGTGCACATTTTTTTATGCTTGCTAGCATTCTGTTCCCTTCTCTTGTAGAGGACTTGAGAGTTTTGAAAGCTCATCTGAGTACTGTTGGCATTACTGACCCACTGGTCTGCATGGTTTGGTTTCATCAATATGTTTTGTATCCCTGTTGACCAAAGCAGTAGGAAGGAGATCTGGAATAGGAATAGGAGCTGGAATAGATGATCCTCAAGGGTCCCTTCCAACTCTGATTATTCTGTGATTCTGTAGTGGATTCTGGAGGTGAGAGGACTGAGAGAGCATGTTCACAGAGCTTGCATTTGATTGTATTCCAAGAATTAGGGTGCTTAGGGACATGGCTTAGTGGTAGATTTGGCAGTGTTAGGTTTACAGCTGGATTCAGATCTTAAAGGTCCTTTCTGACCTAAATGATTCTATGATCATACATGAATAACTTCTTGCACAGTCCTGTTAAATTCTGCTAAGTCACAGGAAGGAACTGGGATAAGATTCCTCACTGACTATCAAATGTAGACATGGTTAGCAGTGCCTGTAAAGATACAACCCTGGCCCATGGCTAGAGGGAAGTCCCTATTAGGATTGTCAGTGTTACTTCTGTTTGGTCTTGTGGGCACAGTCATCCTGGAAAGACTGCAGAAAATTAGCTCATCTAATCAGAGCTAGAGATAGCTGTGTGCTTCCTGTTTAATTAAGCATCGTGAGATCAAATCAAAATTGTTTAAAGTTGTTTTCATCAGATAATCATTTTTATTAGGGCTTAGATATAAATAATCCGATGAAACTGCTGTCATTAAAATCACATGCCATGTTGTATTTATGGACATTGCTGCCTGATATGATTAATAATGCAAGTTTTGCAAAGCAGTTGATACTATTTCTGCTTTCGTGGCACGTTGAAAATTCTGACTTTGCTGCAGAGGGATTTACCAGTGACACGTCCATTGTTCAGAATCCTCACACAAATATGTGCAAGGTTGTAGGGATTGCTGCTCTGACCTCTTTATTAAACAAAGATTATAGACATGTTCTGTGTCTGTCTCATAGTTTAGTTTACTTTCATTTCCAAATTAGACAAGTAAATGAAGGCTCTGTTGACATATAAGAAGTCAGATGGTGAGAAATCAGATGTGAGTGGAAGATTAGGTGTTCTTTGTGATATATGGTAGAAATGTCCTTATTTCAGGAAAATAAAATGAAAGTAACTTTCTTCACTGTTAGGATGGTCAGGCACTGGAATAGATTGCCCAGGGAGGTGCTGGAGTCACCATCCCTGGAAGTGTTTAAGAGGCATCTGGATCTGGCACTGGAGGATCTGGTTTAGGGTTTGGTGGTTCCAGCAGTGACAGGTTAATGGTTGGACTCAATGATCTTAGAGGTCTCCTCCAACCTTGGTGATTCTGTGGTCTATGAACACATACACACCCCCTCCCACCTCTTCCAGTGGTAGAATCATAGAGTTTAAGGGTTGGAATGGACCTTAGAGATCACCTAGTCCCAACCCCCTGCCCTGGGCAGGGACACCTCCTCACTAGATCAGGTTGTTCAAGAAATGGGATCAATTTTTGTAGTTGTTACATATTAAGTCACCAAAA